ATCTTTCTACCATTGCTGTTAGGGGTTTCAATCCCCTATATTCTCAAGTGAATTTGCCAACACCTTATTAGGATGTATGGTTAAATGGATAGCAGTCATTTATAACTCATGATAAAACAGAGTACTTGGGTTTTGTTTTGGAAACTTGTAATAATGCAGTAATTACAGTCTACTGTTGCTAAACTTTTGGCAACTGGTGGTAAATCCAAAACTCACTCAACCACTGGTTGAAAAATAAATGATGCTGAATCGTTGGAAACTACCAATAGTAGCCCATTTTTGACCCACAAAAGTGGCATTTTCCTGTTGATCAAGCTAATAATACATTTTCAAGTATAATCCTTTAATCCAGCAAAAATCCAATGTTCCCAAACCCCTTATGTTGATTTGGAGATGCATATAGTTTATAAGGAAATATATTCTCTTTTTGAAATGGGTTTATCAATGTTTCACTTTAGATTTAGGTTCATCTGTATTCTTTACATTTTTAAGTACTGAAGTAAGATGTGTAAAAATGCCCCTGGAGAAAGTGTTGCAGCATTGTAAAAGTGTTTCCATCTGTTTATTGGCCTTTTTCTTCCTTTGTTAATTTGAAAAGACGATGTTGGTAGAACAGAATTGGGAGGTGTGCTATCTTTTTTTTAAATTCCATCCAACTAGAAAGGACTAGACTAGTTGATCTCGAAAGGATTCCAGTATTGAGAATAGTTATATGTGGGACCCTGGGTAACAACTATTTTTAAGTACTTTCAAGAATCAGGCTGAATTAATCCCAGCCATTTCTAACTTGGCTTTATGTAATCTAATACACAAAACAAAGGCAAGATTATTTTTCACTTCAAGTTTTAAAAGCCCCACTGTTAAGCATACTGTTTAATAGTTTCTTAAAATTGTCTCAGTGATGCGTGTGTTATTTTTTGGGGTGAAATTACAGGGATATATTCTGAATGTTTTATACCCTATTAGTGGATTGTAACGTACCTACTGATTTTCTGATTTATAGGCCATTTTCATTATAAAATTTTCCCTAGATTTCCCAAGATGAACCAGTTTATACTTAATTGTTGTCTGGAGCTTATTCCTCAAACTCATTTTTCAATTTGCTGTTTTCTGGTTGTAAAGAAATTTGTACACAATACATATGAAATTCTATTAACTGAAACAATACTAAGGAAACAGTGTTAAACATGTTCCAGATTAAACCTTAACACTAGACTCCCTTGTCATTGGGTTAGGAATAGGTAACATTGAATAGAAGCTCTTCCTAATAAAGAATATAGGCTAAGGCAGTATGTGTCTCTAAGTAGTTACACAGCATTGGGAAGAACAGTTGCCAGCAACAAAATGCAGAGCTTAAGTCATTCAAGTTTTTGGGTACTCAAGCTCTAGGTTACTCTCAGCCCAGGACCCTTCAACCAAAAGCTAACTCTAGCATTTTTAAGTAGTGTTTGTTACTTTACACCAAGCTTATAGGGCTTTTCTCTTATTTGAAGATTATGAATTAATTTCTAATTTTCCATTGGAATTAACATGTTTAGGGGATAACTTAAGCTTAATAACATGTGACCCTTCTGCACACTTCTGAATGCAGAACAAACTCTAGGTAATAACCAGTAGAAAGATGTCATATAACTTCTCAGTGAAACAACTCAGTATTCTAGTGTAAGGTATTGAAGCTTACAAAGTAAGTTGACTATTTCATTGAAGCATTCCCCTTAAGTGAATTTTTTGAAACCTTAATTTAAAAAAAAAAATTGTTTATGTATATAAGAACTGGGGTGTAGATCAGTGGTGTGGGGATTGAGAGGATTCGCCAGAGACCAGAGTGGGGAGCAGAACAGGCATGTTGACTGAAATATACTGCTGAGGGGAGCAGTGGGTGAGACAGAAGAGGTCTGCCAGTTATCTCCTTGGCAGGGGCTCGAACTCACATTGCAGGGGTGATAGCTTGATAGCGCTGTGTCTTTAACCCCTGTGCCACCAAGAAGGCCCTGAAAACTTATTTCTGATGTAAGGTTTTTAAGGTAGAGCATAAATTTTCAGTATGCTGAATGCAGTATAGCATTTCAGTATGGCCATAGTTCAATAGTAACTTCAGCTTTTTTTTTTTTTCCTGTAACTTAAAATAAGCTTGTTATTTTCCAGTGGTTTTGCTGCCTCCTACTATTTACCGTTGTGATTTAGAACAAAGCAAATAAGGAATAGCATAAAAAGCCATATAACCAGACTTACAGAATGTCCAGAAATTACATAGGTATGGACTTATATTCATACAAGAGTTTTCTCTTTTTTAAGTTGGAATGGTTTTAGGTCAAGATACTGATCTGCATAACTAGATTTCTTTTAAAAGCTTCCATAGTAATTGCCATAATTTGAAGTTTATGCAAAGAGAATTTGATACCTTCTGGAACCACTTACTACTGCCTATTTTCATGCCTAGTAAAGCAGTTTTTATAAAAAACAGTGGAGAATTTATCCATTAATACCAACCCAGATCTGCCAGTGAAGTCAAAAGGGGAGGCTGCCTATGTAGCAACAGACGTCTCTGGTATGCCAGACCTAATGTTAGGAATTTCCCCAAATTATATGTTGAGGACTTGTTCTGACAAACCACAAATGAACCTAGTGGTAGACATGACACCCAAGACAGTTTCACTCCCCTGTGCAAGCTTGGAAACCCCTTTGGCTTTGTTTCTTTATCCATAAAATTTGGAGAAATCTTCACAATTTTCAAATTGGCCATTCTTTTCCCTCTTAACAGATGAAGCAGGAGAACCCTAAACACACAGATGGTTTGCTCAAAGCTGGCTGTTAATTTTGATTTGAAACCCGCACATCCTCTTTTCTCGTGGTGTGTTCAACCATAGTTTCTTTCCTTTTAAAAAAATTTAAGCACCCACTGATAAAAAGGGTCCAAGCTAGATGTGTAAAAAGTACAGACTCGAACTCAGTACCAACATCCCTGGGTTATCAAACTAGGTTTGAGGAAGATCAGCCTTCCACTACGTTGCTTTGTGTGTTACTTAACCTAAGCTTTACCTGTAAAATGTACTTAAAAATGGTAACTAGTCTACTGGTATACAGGGAAAATGCTACCTCATGGTAAGTCAATAAATGTCAACATTAACACAGTATTTGGTAATAAAATAAATATTAAAAGATGAAGACCCTTGGGCCTCCCTGGTGGCGCAAGGGGTTAAGACGCAGCCTATGAAGCTATCCACCACCATTGCAGCACGAGTTTGATCCCCAGCCAGGGAGCTACCCACATGGCGCAGCTGCTCCCCTCAGTGTATTTCAATATGCCTGTTCTGTTCCCCACTCTGGTGAATCCTCTTACCCCCACCACACTTCTGGCCTGTACCCCAGTTCTTGTATGCATAAATAAATATTTTAAAAAAGAAAGATGAAGACCCTTTAAAGATCATAGTTGGGTCTACCCACAGTGATCTAAAGCCCTCATATAGATGACTTTCTACAAAAAATATAAATTTGCCTAATAGACAATGCATTAGGGGTTTCTTTTACTTCAAAAAAGGATTACAGGAAATAAAAATGATTACTGTGAAAGAAAACTACTTTTGCCATGCTGCTTAGTATTTTAAAGTGCTTTCCACACAGTATGCTGTTTGCATTAAAACAATTTACATTGACAACATTTAAGTTTTCCTCTTTAGAGTTAATGATTTCAGGTATATTTTGCTTTTGTGTTTTAACACTATCTTCCCCTTAAGTTTTGTTTGTAGAAACTTTGTTTTGATTTCTGAAAACGCTAAAATAAAAGTAAGCCAGAATACAGTTGATCCTCATTACCAGCAGATTCCTTACTTGGGATTTCACCTACTGGCTAACATTTCTAAATGCAACATCAGTCCTTGTGTTTTTCTGATCATTCATGGATGTGCCCAAAGTGTTGCTCTGCCTTGTTTGATCTTTCATACCATAAACAAGTGTCCTTTTTGTGATAAGTGTAGTATCAACATTTTCACATTTTTGTTGTTTCTTGGATAATTTGTTTAAAATGGCTTACAAATTCAGTTAATTGCTGCCTGATGCTCCTGAACCCAAGGCTGTGATGTGTTGGCATGACTTAGTGTTGCTGGCTGTGAGTTCAGTGTTAATGAATTGAGACGAAATGTGTCTTTAAATGGAAAAACAAAACAAGGTTATATATTGATTGGTTGACAAAAACTATTTTGATGAGGCTCACAGGAATGTTTATTTTCCTTAGGACAGTGGTTTAGTACAACTTTACAGAATGTAACTTCTAATAAAAATCAGCTGTACTTTCATGCCTCATTGCCCCTGGAAGTAACTGAAAAGATTTATCCTACACAAGAAACCTGACTGCTTAGGCTAAATCAACAATTGGACTTTATTGTATTTTAGAAAAGGAAATATGATATACCTCAACTACATCAGACTAAATATTGGTTATCACAGAATATTTAAAACAAGTCCTCTGATTGAGATCCTTAAATATTTTGTTAGATTAATAGCAAATTAATTTATATATGTCAGTTATCAAGTTTTTAATGCATGAAATGTGAATTTTGACAGTGGTATTATATACCTAAATACTTTCTTAGGCCAAATTTGTGTCTAGATCTAAATTTAAGGTGTCAAGCAACTGGCTTAGTTTCTGTGTACCTTTAATAACTTTTCCTATATGAATTAAGTCATGTTTTCCACATGGTACTTTCATTGCCAGTTTATTGGTCTCCCATTAAGACTGGGGAACTTACTGAAAACAGAAATTTTATGTTCACTGTGCCTTCAAGTAGGTACAAAATTTAATGAGTAATGAACAGTATTGTTACTCAAATTGCATTTGTTTATCCATAACTGAGTATTAATGTCCAAATTTTATGATTTACAAATAGCCTGATTTATATTTGCATCAGTTACTTACAATGATCTAAAGCCCTCATATGGGGCTCAATTTAAACAAAAAAATCTTATCCAAAGGCTTTTAGTTTATGCTAAATCATTTTTAAGATTTATAGCTTTGAAGCATTTTATTAAAAAGTTGGTATTTATACATAAACAGCTAAGAACTTAAAATTCATTGTAACATTTACTTCATTTTTTGGCTTGACCTTCTAGTAAATCTTTAGCTTCATTGATTTTGGCTGCTATATAAGGAGATCCTCCTATAGAAAGAAAAAAGCAATAGTTATGGATTCTCAATTTATGATTTATTCACAAATCTCTGCTTATCTGAAAGGTGAAAATTAGTAGAAATGTTATTTTGACTTTTTAAAAAAATGACTAACACTACATACAACTGGATCACCCAAATACATGGTAATATAGATGTGACCAATGGGAACTGAGGTGATTCATGAGGGGGATTTCCATAAAAAATGGCACATTCTTAAAAAGCATAAACTGATTCAAAAAAGGAGGGGGGCTTAAAATGACTGAAACAGCATAAGTTAACTATTCATGATGAGTACAAGCCATTAGTGAACACCAGGTTTTCACTGTGTTAATTTAAAACCATTGTGTTCTCAGAGGCTGCTTTTGTTGGAAAGGCCCTACTTCATTTTGGATGCTTATTTCTGTCCTTAAGTTTTTTCCTGTTACTATTTCTTCATAATGTCATCTATAGCTTATTTCCTACTAATGTGCTGGGACAGTGATTCTTAAAGTATGGTCCTCGGTACATTAAGCATCAGCATTAATAGGCAGGTTGGTAGAAATACAAATTTGTGGAAACCAAGCTGGACCTGCTGAATCAGAAAAGAGGCTATGAAATTAGATAGTGAACAGTCACATCCCTGTAACAACTCAAAGCCTTTCTTAATGAGAGTCTTCTATGAAAGTATAAGGATTTGAGCACTGGAACATGAATTCTGTGATTTTATATGTTGGTACACCAAGGAATTACTTGCTTTTAACACAGCTAAGCCTTAGATATGTCTCAAACTCTTAAATAGATTCTGTAGTTTCTAACTAGGTAACCTCTAGTTCAAATGTCTAAATGGACAGGGAAGAATTACATTTTTACTTTCTTGAAATTTATCACCTCATTTAAGAATGCAGACCAGGTAAGAAGGGACTGACTTATTGGTGGTGGGCATAGTATGACACAGAGTTGCTGAAGAGAAATTGTACACCTGAAGCCTATGCAGTGTTGAAAACTAAAGTTAGTTCAATAAAAAGGAAAAAAAAAAGTTTCCCATAAAGATGAAAAAATATGTAGACCCAAATGTAGACCCCCCCCCAAAAAAAAACCCAAAAACATCGTAGTAGCAGTATTAACACTATTAGAATCACATTTTAATCCAATTGCAGATCTGTAAACATAACTAATCTGTAAACATAACTAAGTAATCTGTAAACTAAGTAATCTGTAAACATAACTAATCTGTAAACATAACTAAGTAACACAATTTTTTAATCACAGTAACTAGATCCAATTATTACTGTAAAAATGTTTTCACAAAGAATTTGTACTTTTAAGACACCAAAAACAAATTGATTGAGTCTCCAGTGCTCACTACAGATTGAGGCATTTTCTCTGTAACTAAGATGACATAAAATCATCCATTCATAGCAGCTAGTCATTCCAACAACATGTATAACAAGAGTGTAATAACTACTTACCCTTGTCTGGATGATTTAAAAGCATAATTCGTCGATGAGCATCTCTTATTTTTCCTTTATTGGCAGTAGGGCTAATTTAAAAAGGAAATGGTACTTACTTCAGACTTCTTGTGGATCACATAAAATAACTACAAAAAGGCCAGTTAAAGATATTGTGAAACTGGGCCTCCCCGATGGCACAGCGGTTGAGCGCTGGGTTGCGAAGCTGCCCGCAGCCTCTGCAGCGCCAGTTTGATCCCTGGCTGCTTCCCGGCCACCGGAGAAGGGTGCCACATGGCGTGCAGACCTCTCCTGCGGCCTGCTGCTCCCCTCAGCAGTGTACTTCAGTCCTTCTGCCTGCTCTGCTCCCCGCTCTGGTTCTGGTGAATTCTCTCACCCTCCCACGCTTCTGACTGTACCCAGTGCTTATATATATATATATATATATATATATATATATATATATATATATAAATCTTTAAAAAAAAGATTGTGAAACTATTATAACATGAAACAACAGTATGAAAAGCTTTTTAGGAATCTTTTCCTTAACATAAGATGATACTCTGAATCAGGGAATGAAATTGCTCAATAAAAATAGAGTTAAACGATGATAATCACGATAATAGTCTTGGAAAGGATGGCATGTTTAGGTATTTTAAATGCAGCATTTTACCACAAAAAGTGATATATTTTAGAGAATGTCATTGAGGACTGTAATTATGTAATTATCTAAAATCTCTCAATGAGTTAAAAAGTGGCTATGTGCCAGTGTGCCTTCTCATTGGACTCCTGTGGGAGTGTTAAGACCTTAAAAACGATAATACAATAACTATCACCTAACAAAGGAGAGAAGGCCTTTAATATATTCACTCATAGGTTTCCAGTTGTAGAAAAATGAAATTATAAGTTATCTTACCTTACACCTAATATTAATGCTGCTTCCCGTTTTGTCATTTTTGGTTCAAATCCACCTCTGTAATAGCCACCACTGAAAGCCTGAAAAAAAGTTGCTTTAAAATATTAACATTCATAGAACCAGTAGAAAAACAGACTTTCCAGAGAACTTTAAGGGTAATTCCCAGGGAATTTTAGCTTTATAAGTAGTGATAAATACTTTACTGATCATTATACTGATCACTTATTCCCAGGCAGCGTTGAAAACATAAGAGAACAGTGCCTCAAAGCCACTTCTAAGAGTGAAGGGAATGTTATTCCAAGTTAACCATGGTCTAGATAAAAATTTACCTCAAAACATGAATATATTTTTGAACAAGATGTTCCCCAAGAAGAGGATTTAGAAATCTTTCAAAACAAATGGTTCAAGGCAACTAGTAAAACTTCTAAGACTGATAAGTACTGACAAACTCAGGCTATAGAGTCTTCTCACTTTCTGTCACAAATCATGTAAGTAAAGCCATCATCCTATTCCATCACATTCAATCACAATAAAAAGTGAACACTCAATAGTCTTCCCAGTCAAATTCTTTCTGAACTGTAATCACCATACTCTATAGCCCAGTCAACTGCAGTACTACCCAAGTATGGAGTGCCAGAGCTACACAGTAAGAATGGATCACTTTAGATCCCTAATCCCTCTATACTTGCCATGCAGGGCAGATGAAGGAGGTCAAGAATGTTGACGGTGATGCCAAAGTTAATAGAACATGAACAATAAAGTGATTAATTTTATATGGCATTGTTAACATCTCTACCCTAATTCTTTTTCAAATACATTTGATTTTTTAGCAGTGCCATCACAAAGCTCAGAATTTCTAAATCCTGTGTGAAGCAAAGAGGGGGGGATCAAAGCAATCACTTAGAACTTTATGTATGTTTGGAAATTTACCCTCAAGTGTGGCTCTAGGCTTCATACACAAGTAGCAAAGAATTAGAAAAAAATGTAAATCTTACAGATTTTGGTAGGCTTTGAAAAACTTGTTTTACTTGAGGCTCCATATGCTTCATGGCTTGCAAAACATAGCGGCCTAAAAACAAAAGCAACACAATAAACAAATCCCCAATCTCTCCTACTTCCACCCCAAAGGCATAAACAAACCTGCAAATCCTGCAGCAGCAATGGTCAGTCCAACCGCTACCATGGTACTGGCCTGGTAAGGGAAAGCAGAGTAAATACTTAAGTAGTCCCTATTCGTCCCTGTGATGCACACATTCTTGCATACCAACTCATTACAAAGTTTATTTCAACAGAACAACTTCTTGGGTGATCCTTTCAAAATCATAGCATCTTTGGTAACAGCCAATGCATTGTCAAGGTAATGTGATTTTCACTATGGAAGAAAAATGCTTGTCGACTTGCTTGCTATTTTTATGAGTTGTGGAAAAGACAGATGTCTCTCCCTTTGAAAACCTTTCACCTTCGGGTTTTGTCCCTCATGATTACAGGAGACAATCACTGCTAGCAACAGCCACCGGTACAGATAGAGCAAAGTGGAGAAAGTGCTGTGAATACTTGTTAAGCTGAGGGCAAATATAATCAAGTTACGTTTCCACTCATTTCCGAGCCTCTGACAACCTCCAACCTTGTAAGAGTTTTGGGGGAGCAGCGCCTAGCGCCCACAGCCCGAGATCGGTACACCAGGGCGCGGAGTCCCTTAGGCGCGCCGTGTGTGAAGCGCTGACCCGAGAGCAGCGAGCCCCCCGCTCCGGCCCGGCGGCTGTAACCAGGGGGCCCCGCACGCCCCCGTCTAGAGCCGCTCTGGGGAGCCATCCTCCGCGCGTCTCCTCCGCGCTCTCCCAGACGACGCCTGTGCCCGAATCGGGCCAGGAGGCAGCACGGCGGCACTCACCATGGCTCCGGCTCAGCTCTCCTGCCTCCACCGAGAGCGCGGCTCATCCCAGACCAGAGGCCGCGGCCACCAGCCCCACGTCCCCGCCAGTCCCCCGTGCGGCCACCGCTGGCCGGCAAAGCCCGGGTGCAGGCGCTGCGGGAGGTACGGCAGTGCGGCCGCAAAGCGGGCCGGAAGACGGAAACTGTCGTAAAAGCGGGAACCAGAAGGGGAGGGAAAGGTCGCTCCAGCAGCGGCGGGTGGACAACAGCACTCTGGATTGGCCGGGGGTGTGGGCGGGTTACCTCCTTTTTGGGCTCGAAGGAGGGGCTGCCCTCGCTTTCGCCCTTTGCGCCGCGACCCACGGTGTTTGGAAGTTCCAACCGGGAAGGCTGTTGGGATGGAAAGGCTTCAGCAAACGCTCGATCCTTACAACGTTTTTCTTTCTCTTTCTATAAGTACCTCCATTTCCCTTTTGTTTCCTTTTTAAGTGTCGAGGAGAACGAGTATCCTCAAATATGCCTAATAGTCCCACCACGGAGCCCAGTAAACTAGTAAGCCAGTGTAGCAAACGAGAAGCTGTACCAGAAACCATGCGAACAAACTGTGTTGTGGTTTATGGGTGGTTCGGAAGCAGTGTTTTATTTCAAATAATTCTATTTAAGGAAGTGACTTTATAGGACTTCGTGTGACTGCAGTGGAGTTTTGTAGACCGGGAGCACATCTTCAAAGACACAACATTCCTGATACTGGAATCAGAACTGAAAATGCTTTTTAAAAATTCTATACCGCACCTCAAAATGAGAAGCAGGTTTGGTTTTGCCATTAAAAGGCATCAGTTTCATATATTCCTACACAAATGCTTGAGAAGAGAAAAATAATGGAGAAAGCAATGGAAGTTTTACAATGCAATGTTTGGATGATCAAAGTAGGTTGGAGTTACTGTCCATTTAGAACTTAAAAAGTGTTAGATATTTCTTTTGTTGGCTTTGTTTTCCTCATCTTCAAAAAGACTGCGCTTGGATCTCCAAACATTCTGCTGTTCCTGAGTTTTGTACTGTAACTTGTTAAATAATCCAGCACTAAGATATTTCCATTAAATGAACAAAGTCCTCTTTGCCAATCTTTTAACTTTCAATAGGAGAAACAATTTATAGGGTGAAAATATTCTAAAAATATTTGACTTGGTTGAAAAATATTACCCAGTAACTACAGAAGAAATAATCAAGTGAGGCATAAGAGCGTGGGTCTAAATTGATCAGAAACAAGTCATTGTTGCCTGAAAAACCTTATGTGTATTTTTGGTATGTACAAACTATATCATGCAGCTTAATTGAGAGATAGGCTACCAAAAAGAAGCCCAGCTTTAGGAAACCAGGCATGGGCAAAACATCTGGACATTTGAAGTTGAAGTGGCATAGCTCTGTTTTTAGAGAAAAATTAAACAAGATATACAATCTAGCTCTTGCACTTAATAGTTGTGTTCCTTTGGACGATTTCTAACTCTCAGATTTCTCATTCATAAAGCAAGGGTAATGATGACCACCTACCTGAATTTTGGTGAGAGTAGAGATTATGTGGTGTGTTGTGCACTTAATTATCACTCAGTGTGTGGCCATAATTATGAAAAGTCAGTGTGTAAATTGGTGTGTTGCAGAAATCTTGATAACTAAAACTAAATAACTAAATTACTAAAACTTGATAACTAAAACTAATCTTGATAACTACCAACTAAAAGCCTAGAAAGTACCTTTAAGAACATTTAAAATGTCCATCAACTGCCTAAAAATCATTTATTGCTTTTTTGTTTATTTTGTTTGTTTGTTTGCTTGTTTTTTTTTTTTTTTTTTAGCTTTTAGAGTGCCAGCGTTCCTTAAATTATGACTATAAAACTTCAGTCTTCGAGGAAGGTCAGTATCTTGAAATCTGTATCTATTTGATCTTCACATTGCCTTGCTCCTCTGTGTGTAAAATCTCTTCTGCCTCCCTCTTAAAGGACACCTATAATTGCAGTTAGGGTCTAGCCCTATAACCTAGGAAAAAACTCTCCAGCATAAGATCCTTTATTTAATCAGAGAACCTTTACTTAATCACAACTCCTTAACTGTATGCAAAAGACTTTACCACATAGGCTAACACTGACAGGTTCCAGGTTTGGGGACCTGATATCTTTGGGGGCTGTTATTTAATTTCCTACAGAGAATAAGAGAAGACAAAAGAGAGGACTAGAAAAACAAGAGAATGAGAAAGGTCTCAAGCACATTTGCTCAATTTATTCTCCCAGATTTGTCAATCAATAAATCACTTCTTGGGGAATAATAAGTGAAAGGTGAGTGAGAAGCTGAAAATGTTCTTATACTGTGGCTTTCAAACACTTTTTGACCATGACCCATAGTAATAAAAACATTGTATAATGACACAGGGAGCAAATGCATGCACACACACACACACACAAATACACAGTATATTTTTTTTAAATTTTGATATAATACTTATTTTATGAGATGTGTGCTGATCTTTTCTATTTCTTAAAAAGTTCCTGGGAAACCCATTAAGTTCACAGTACACTTATTGATCATGATCTGAAGTTTAGAAAGCATCATTCCATAAAAACCAAAAAGATTACCTGGAAATATGCCAGGCAAATAAGAGTTATTTTGTCCAAAAACCTGTGCCAGACGTTTTATGTAGATTATTTTATTTCACTCCATGATAGTAATATTTAATTTTTTTAAAAAAAGATTTTTATTTTTATTTATATATACAAGAACTGGGGTGTAGGCCAGAAGTGCAGAGGGTGAAAGGATTCACCAGAGACACAGTGGGGAGCAGAATAGGTGGATCTACTGAAATACACTGTTACAGGAGCAGCAGGCAAGATAGTAGAGGTCTGGCTACCCCAGTGGGTCAGCTTCCTGGCTGGGCATAGAACTCATGCTTCAGTGGCTGGCAATAGCTTGATAGCACTGAGACTTTAACCCCTGCTCCACCAAGGAAGCCAAGTATTTACTTTTGTTTTGCTGATGAGGCTATTTTGCCAGGTATTAATTGTTAATGAGATTGGAAAGATGTCAGGAAGAGCAAGCTGGTGGCAGGGGGAGATTGTGTGTGGCATGTTAAATTTGAAATATCCAAGGAGTGTTTTTAAGTAGGCATTTGGATATACAACTCTGGCATTAAGAGAGAGGTATCAGCCAATAGATGGCTTTCAAAATCATACAATAGATAAACTTGTCCATTGCATGAATGGAATGAGGAAGAAAAGGAATAGGGCTGTGTTTTGTGAGACTGCCATATTTAGAATTTAGGGAGATGATAAAAATCCAGAAATTTAGGCTGAAAGAAGGTGATAAAAAGCCAGGTGAGTATGGTATCCTGGGGAAGTGTTCTTGAAGGAGCTGAGTAAAATGCTCAAATAAAAGGACAACTGAGAATTGACTACTAGAGTTCACTAATGATTTTTTTTTTTTAAGAAAAGTTTCTATGTCATGATGGTCAGAAAAGTCAGATTGCAGTGGAGTCAAGAGAGGATGGAGCAGAAACAGTGGCAATATGGGTTTAAAGACATCTCTTTCAAGGAATTTTGCTGAAAAAGGAATTCAAGAAATAGGTAGTACCCAGAGGGAGAAACACTATAAGGAGTGTTTTTTGTTTTTGTATTTTTAAGATGGAAGAAATAGCAGCATGTTTATCTACTATAAAAATAATCTTATAGAGGGGAAATTTTGACAATTTACATTAATTTATATAATTTTAAAAATGAGAAGAAAATGTAGAGATTATTTTCCCCCAATAGCTTTGTTTTATGTCTAATAAAATAATATTATAAATAGATGTTTTATAAATGATTGAGTTTTCTAAAGCTTGACATAGACCAGTAATTGCAAAACCTATTGTCTACCCTACAGATATATATATAATGTTAGGGTCATGAAATGAGAGGGTCTTGAAACTGCTTTTACCTATATTTACTTATTTTCTTTTTTCTTTTTTTTAAGAAATTGTCTCAGATCTGCATTAACGGCATCTAAGTTCCCACTAGCAGCCATTTATTCCAGGGAATCTTAGGCAGCAGCTTACATGCTGCTATGTTCAGAATTAAATGACATTTAATAAATATTTCCTTCCTTTCCCTTCTCCTTCAGTTCACCCTTTTTTTATCTTCCCCCTTCTTCCTTCCCTGCAACGTTCCTAGTATAGTCTGACAGTCTATCATTGGAAATTTGTCCCATTGTCCTGTGTTTGGATATTAACATTCATGGTAAATGATCATACTGATCTATGATCCACGGACTCCTCTTTTAATTGTTTTAAGAGATCCTTTGCTGTTATAACTTGTAAAAGCGATACTTTAATTGGGATGCAGAAAGGAAGGGAAAAAAAGATTTAGACTAAGAAGGTCCAAGGCCAGTCTTGGGTAACAATCATGAAGATCTAGGGCATTAGGGAAATGAAGGGGCTGAGGGGTAGTTAGAAGGGAAGCCTGAGGTCCAGGGACTCTTTCCTCAGTCTCTCAGATTGGCAACTACATCAGGTGACCCTGCTCTGTCCTGTGGTCATGCTGTAACAATTTGTAACTAGTTCTCATGTGATTTCTCTCTCTTTTTCTCACTGTGTTTTAGTCTGACTTCCTGTTTTCCTTTCTAATTACATGAACTGTTGTCCTTTTTAATCTGGAGCATGCAACTGGAGACCAGTCAGAGAATTGCAATGTTTTTGACCAGAGTGACATCTGGGAGGCATGTATTTCTGGATAAAGGCTCTGCCTTTTTCTTGCGCTATGAGGAAGTATCAATAAAATTGAGGCACTCAGATTTTCAGGAGAATTGGAAATTGGGATAAGTGAAGTGCTTTTTCTCACTAAGAGATTTCCCACTGCTCCTCTGTTTTGCTCGAATCCTGCATGTCTTTTCTGGGTTGCCTTTCTTGATCCCTTTTCCCTCCTTGGTAGTCAGGGTTCTTACTTGTATATAGCAGTTTCATGCATCAAATAAATTGAGCCCTCCCTGCTGAGCTGTCAGCAAATGGAACTGACCAACACAACATTCAGTGCAAGTGCATCTTGTTCCTGGGCCAGACAGGCAAGCATAATTATTTGATTGCTGGAAACTGCCACTAAATGAGGGTGAAATAGTGGGTCTGAGATTACTTGATGAATATTATTAATAATAT